ATAATTCTAATTGGAGATTTCAATACCTGTTTATCAATAATTATAGAACAAATAGGCAGAAAATCAGCAAGGATATAGAAGTGAACAGTAAAATCAATCAAATCAACTTGATTGATAATTATAGAACATTCCACCATCAACAGCAGAATACTCATTCTTCTCAAGTACACACCGAACATTTACTAAGATAGACCATATTATAGGCCATAAAATAAGTCTAGATAAATCCAAAAGGATTCACGGAATACAAAGAATATTCTCTGGCCACAATGGAATTAAATTAGAAGTCAATATCAGAAAGATATTTGGAAAATCCCCTAATATTTGGAAACTAAATAACACGCTTCTAAATAGTTCATGTATCAAAGAAAAAATCAGCAGGGAGATTAGAATGTATTTTGAATCGAATGAAAATGAAAACATAACAGTATCAAAATTTGTGGGGTATCATTAAAGGAGTACTTAAGGGGAAATTTATAGCAGTAAGTGCCTATATTAGAAAGGAAGAACTCAAAATCAATGACCTCAGCTTCCATCTTAAGAAACTAAAAAGAAAATTAAGGAAGGAAATAATAAAGATTAAAAAATAAGTAAAGAAATAATAAAGATTAGAATGGAAACCAACGAACTGGTTCTTTGATAAATACCTAGTCAGACTGATGAAGGGGAATAAGAGGAAATATAAAATACCAATAAGGAATGAGATAGATGATATCATTACATATTGTACAGCTATGAGGACAACCTTACCTTGGTACCCAAACCAGACAAAGAAATTGCAAGAAAAGAAAACCACAGATCAATAGCCCTCATGAACATAGATGTAAAAATTTTAAACAAATTTTTTTTATTTTAGAAAATTATATTCAACAGTATCTAAAAGGGATGATATATTACATTCAAGTAGAGTTTTTTCAAGTAAGGCAAGGTTGGTTCAACATTTGAACATCAATCAAAGTAATGCACCAAATCAATAAACTAAAGACAAAAGGCATTTACAAAATTTAACATCCACTCATGGTAAAAACTTATAGTAAACTAGGAATAGATGGGAACTTTCTCAACCTGATAAAGGACATCTATGAAGAACCTACAGCTAACATCATACTTAATGGTGAAAGACTGAATGTTTCCCCACTATGATCAAGAAAGAAGGAAGGATGTCTATTCTCACCACTCCTATTCGATATCATCCTGAAGGTCCTCGCCAATGCAATAGGGCAAATAAAAGACATACAGATTGGAAAAGAAGAAATAAAACTGTATTTGCAGATAGCATAATTGTCTACATAGAAAATCCCAAACAATCTACAAAAAAGCTAGTAGACTAATAAAGTCACCAGATAAAAGTTAACATATAAAAGCCAATTATATTTCTTATACTAGCAATGAACAACTGGACAATCAATTTGGCAGTTTCTTATAAAAGTTAAACATACACTTTCCATACGACCCAGCAATCCCACTCGTAGGTATTTACCCAAGTGAAATGATTACCTATGTTTACAGAGAAACCTGTATGTGAATGTTTACAGCAGCTTTATTCATAATTGTCAAAAACTGGGGGAAAAAAAATACAACAAACCCAAGATATCCTTCAACAGGTAAATGGATAAACTGTGACACATCCATATGATAAAAATAATACTCAGCAAAAAAAAGGGGGGGGGCACAAACTACGATATATGCAACATGGATGAATCTCAAATGCATTATGCCACGTGAAAGAAGTCCTACTGTATGATTCCATCTATATGACAAAGGAAAAACTACAATGACAGAATAAAGATTAGTGTTTGCCAAGAACCAAGGGTATAGGAATTGACTATAAAGGGATATGGGGAATTTTAGGGGGTAACAGAACTATTCTATGTCTTGATTGTGGTGGTAGTTATATAACTGTACATGTTGTCAAAACTCACAGAACTATACAAAAAAACTTACCTTAAAAAGGGTAAACATTATTGTATGTCAGTTACACTTTAATAAAAATCTACAGCTAATATTATACCTAATGGCAAAAGACTGAATGCTTTCCCCCTAAGATTGGGAACAAAGAAAGGATGTCCTCTGAAACCTGTTCTATTCAGTTTTGTACTGGAAATTCTAGCAAGTGCAATAAGGCAAGACAAATAAAAGGTATACGGAATGGAAAGGAAAAAATAAAACTCCCTATTTGCAGATGGCACGATCATCTACGTACAAAATCCTAACCAGTGCCAGTTGTCATCGAGTCGATTCTGACCCATGGTGATCCCGTGTGTGTCAGAGTAAAACTGTGCTCCTTGGACTAATGGACCACAACTACCACAGGCTCCACCGGACTGAGCCCAGTACAACTAGATGATGTCTCGTTACCACCACCGACTGCTCTGGCAGGGATCACAATAGAGGGTCCCAAACAGAGCGGAAGAAAAATCTAGAACAAAATTCAAATTCACAAAAAACAAACAAAAAAATAAAACAAAACCAGGCTTGCTGGTCTGACAGAGACTGGAGAAACCCCAAGAGTATGTCCCCCGGACACCTTTTAACTCAGTACTGAAGTCACTCCTGAGGGTCACCCTTCAGCCAAAGATTCGACAGGTCTTATAGGGCCAACAAATGACACACATGAGGGACGTGCTTCATAGTTCAATCATGTACACGAGACTAATGGACACATCAGCCCAAAAGCAAGGATGAGAAGGCAGGAAAGGGACAGGAAAACTGGACGAATGGAAATAGGGAACCCAGGGTGGAGAAGGGGAGAGCGTTGACATATCACAGGGTTGGCAACCAATATCAGAAAACAATTTGTGAATTAACTGTTTAATGGGAAACTAATTTGCTCTGTAAACTTTCACCTAAATCACAAAACAAAATAAAACAAAGCTCCATAGAGTTTTCAATGGCTGAGTTTTCATAAGTAGATTGCCAGGCCTTTCTTCCGAGTTGCCTCTGGGTGGACTTGAACCTCCAACTTTTTGGTTAGCAGCCAAATGCATTAACCATTTGCACCACCTAGGGACACAAAATCCTAAGGACTCAACAAAAAAGCTATGATAACCAACAATTGGGTTAAGCAAGGTTACAGGATACAAGGCCAATATATAGAAATCAATTATATTTTTATATACTAGCACCAAACAATTGGAAATTGAAATTAAAAATATCATTTCCAATATCATAAAAATGAGAAATACTTAGGGATATATTTGACAAAAGATGTGCAACACCTGTACACTGAAAACAAAAACATTACAGAAATAAAGACCTAAATAAATGGAGAGATGTTCATGGATCAAAAGATGCAATATTGTTAAGATGTTAATTCTCCTCAGATTTATCTATAGATTCTATGCAACTCTAATAAAAATCTCAGTAGGCTTTTTTGTAGAAATTGACAAGCTGATTCTAAAATTCAGATGGAAATGCAAAGGAGCTAGTTTTCCCAAAGCAATTTTGCAAAAGAACAACTGGGGAGGACTTACACTACCTGATTTCAAGCCTTATTATAATGCTACTGTAATCAAGACACATTGGTATTGGCATAAAGACAGACATGTAGATCAACGAAATAGAATCCAGAAATAGATCCGTACATTTATGAACAACTGATTTTGACAAAATTGTCAAGGTGAAATGAATCATAGACCTAAACGGGAAGCTTAAAACTATTTAACTTCTAGGAGGAAATCTTAGTGACCTTGGGTTTGGCAAAGATTTTTTAAATAGGACACAAAAACCATGAAGTAGAAAAGAAAAAAATCAATAAACTGGATGGCATCAAAATTTAAAAGACTTGCTCTTCAAAAGATACTGTTACAAAACGAAAAGGTAAGCCATGGCTTGGAAGAAAATATTTGTAAAGCATGATTCCTTTGCTGAATATACCTAGAATATATAAAGAATTCTAACTTGATAAGAAAAATAAATCAACTAAAAAATGGGGAAAAGATTTAACAGATATTTCACCAAAGAAAACATAAATATGGAAATTATGCACGTAAAAGATGCTCAGTATCATTAGTCATGAGGGAAACGAAAACCACAACATGGTACCACTACCCACCCACTAGAATAGCTAAACTTTAAAAGACTGACCATACTAATTATTGGCGAGAATCGGCACCAACTGGAACCCTCATACAATGCTAAGGATGTAAAAAGGTGCAACCACTTTGGAAAACAGTTTGGCAGTATCTTAAAGAAGTTAAAATATACACCTACCATACAAGCCAGCCATTCCACTCCTAGCTATCTCTACCCAAGAGAAATAAAAACATATGTTCACACAAAGACTTTGTACACAAATGTTCATAACAGCTTTATTTGTAATAGTCAAAAACAGGAAACAACCCAAATGTCCATCAACAGGTGAATAGATAAGTTGTGGTATATCCATTCAATGGACACTACTCAGCAATAAAAAGGAAAGAACTATTGACATATGCAACTACATGGATGAATCTCAAAATATTTGTGCTGCGTGAAAGGAGCCATATAAAAGTACATACGGTAAGATTCCATTTTTATAAAATTCTAAAAAGTGAAAACTAATCTATGGTGACAGAAAGCAGAATGTCTAGAGATGGGAGGTAGAGGGATGGGGTTGGGAGGGAAACAGCGATTATAAAGGGGTACAAAAAAAACTGTAGGTGATGATCGACATTGTCATTATACTGATTGTGGTGATACATTCATAAGTGTATGTATACATGTGTCAAAACTCATGAAATTGTACATTTTAAACATGTACAATTTATTGTATGTCAGTTATTCCTCAATAGAGCTGTTAAAAAAATTAACTGTCCCTCAACAGGGTCATAGGGATAGAAAGGGTTCTCTACTCTTGATCTTTAACAATAGTTCAAAGATATTAATATCTTTAGGAAATAAGGCTTTCAGGTAGATCTTCAGAACTTTCAATGTTTTCTTCTAAACCAAAAGAAAGCTATTTCCCATTTTTTCCTATCCCCAACGTACAGAAGAGAAATAGCAGTTAAAGGTGTCCATACCTTCACCCGAGTTGCAGTGCTTTCCATTCCACGGCTCTGATTCTCTTTCCGCTTATCTGCAACCTCCCGTTGTTTTTGCAGAGCATCCTTGAGACGCTTGTTGGCAGCTGCTGCCTAAATAAAAGCAGTACACAGTAATGTTGAATTGAAAGATAAAAAGAACATTCTAATTTCCAGCATATTAGTAAAGAAAAATAAAAAATTCCATGTGTTTGAGATCCTATAAGAACCAGATTTGTAAGTCTCCATTTACATAACACTGGTGAACAGTTCGGAGCCCTGGTGGCGCAGTGGTTAAGAGCTAGCCTACTAACCAAAAGGTCAGCAGTTCCAATCCACCAGCTGCTCCTTAGAAACCCTATGGGACAGTTCTACTCTGTCCTATAGGGTCACTATCAGTTGGAATTGACTCAACGGCAATGAGTCTTTTACAGGTTTTGAGCCTAGAGAAGGTACACATTTCAAGGAAGTTATTCAGACTGACAATGTCATATATTAATATTACTGTTTTTTAAAAATTGTAAAAATATATATAACACAACATTTGTCAATTCAACATTTTTCAGGTGTACAATTTACTGATATCAACTACATTAATCATGCTGTGCAACCACTACCCATATCCTTTGTGTTTTTTGGAAAGAATCAAGCCCAATTTTAAAGAATCTATTTGAATAGCACCATTCTCATCAGGACTGTATCTACTTACAGTTTATGACATATAAACAGGTATCAAAGACTCAGGAATTGTTGGTCAAGATAGGTATCCCTGGTTTCTCAGGACACTGGCTCATTTAAGGGATACTACTTTGCCAGCAGGAGTGCTTGACTACTAACTGAAACTGGTCAGTGGTTTGAACCCACCTAGAGGCACCTCCGAAGAAAGGCCTGGTGATCTACTTCTGAAAGGTCACAGCTATTGAAAAGCCTATGGCTCACAGTTCTACTGACACATATGGGGTCTCCACGAGTTAGAACTGACTTGATGGCAACTTATAACTGGTATTTTGCCAGCAGCTAAACCAGGTTGGAATTTCTTACCTCCTCAGTTTTACGTCTGAGCACATTGGACTGTTTCTGGAAGTTTCTTTCAAGCTTGAGCAGTTCATATTGCCTCTTACGGTCCTAAGAAGAAAAAAGTCAGATTTTAATTGCTATGCAGCCAGCTAAAATAAAACCTTATAATGTAACTGGATGAATAATTTCAAATATAAAAATTAGCACAAAGCCAATTCCTATGAGGTGGCGATCACACATATCTCCACTCTTCAACCCCTTCACCAATTCTGACACCAGCTGTTCCTCCCACAGCATTCTCTACTTCTCTGCTGGGTTCAATAATCCATTGCAATGGCCACAAAAAACTCACAGACCATAGTTACAGTCAAGTGGTTTATTAAGGTAGTAACAGGGTACAATTTGGGATTAGGATTAACAGACTACAACTCAGGATCAGGAAGTATGCAGGCAGTATCCCCTCTCCAGTGCAGGACAACTCTCTCAGCTCCTCTTGACTGTGCAGGCCTCCTCTCAGGCCCCCTGAGGACAGGATTCTCTTGGCCCTGCCGTCTGTCACCACTAACTCTGCCCCAGGGCCCCTTCTGGGCCTGTCACCACTGGCTCTGCTGCTGGGCCCCTTCTGGGCCTCTCGTTGTCTTCAGTGTTACAACCCTTGACCCGTGTGACAGCTCTTTTAGGAGGTTCCCTGCTTCTTCTGTCTTCCTGCTGCTTTCTGTCTCAAAAACCTCTGTGGGGTTGGCTGTATATATACACAAACTCCTTGTCAATTTCAAGGCATGGCCCTCCCACCAGGGCCACTAACTGACCAATCCCCTCTCGGTAGGCCACAGATACTTCATTTGCATAGTCTATAGTCACTTCATTTGAACAGTATATTGACCAGTCTCTGCAAGGTGCATATCAATCACAGGGCAGTCTCCAGCCCAGGGCCAGACAAAAAGTATCAAACCTCAAGGTGTTTACAGCTTACCCAGGATTGGTCAATCAACCTGGACAAAAGTAACAAGGCTTCTGGGGTAGAAAACTAGGGCAAAGAGCTAAGGAGAACAATCTGTCAAGCTGTTTTTCCGAAGAACTAAGGCAAAAGGCCTTATTTCACCATAGTAAGCACCGGGTCTTTCAAGACATCCTTGACATGTGTTATGGATTGAACTATCCTCCCAAAAGCTTTGGTGAAGTCGTAATCCCTGTACCTGTGACTATGACTTTGCCTGGGAAAATAGGGTCTTTCTTTGAATATATTATCAGTTAAATCATATGGGAGTAGGGTGGGTCCTAGTCCTAATCCCTTCTGAGCTGTGTCTTATAAAAGGGGAGAACAGACACCATGTGATGATGGAGGCAGATGCATCTATAATGCTAAGGATTGACAGCAGCCGCCAGAAACTAGGAGAGAGGGATGGAACAGTTCCTCTCTCAAAGCCCCCAGAAGAAATCGATATGGCTGAGACCCTGGTTTGGACTTCTAGCCTCCAGTACTGTGAAAAAATAAATTTTTGCTCTTTAAAGCCACCCACTTTATGGTATTTTGTTATGGCAGCCCTAGGAAACTAAGACAACAAGTAAGGCCAAAATGAGCTGCCTTCATCTTCTCCTATCAGAGTTAAGAACTGGTAGTTCTAGAAACCATGTGTGTGTGTAGAGGGGAGGCAATTTTCTCTTTTGACTTATTGCTCTGTGGCCAAATTCTTGAAGCCTCAGTCATGACTCAATTTTTAGAAATAATATCATAGCATGTGAGGCCTGGAAGGAACCTGAAAGATCACCTAAGGAACAGTCCCCTCCACACAGGTAGTTACTGATAGAGCTGGGACTCGGGTCTCCTTATAAACAGACTAGCACTCTTTCCCCCTCAAACCTACCAATCTATCCATCATAAGATCCAGGAGACTGGCTAAGAGAAGAAAGCCTACCATACAGTCAACCCCCTATAAAATTAAGGGAACACACAGCTGAAGGAGAGGTTATTCATTCCTGAACAGAACCAAGTTATTACTGAATATACCCTCTCTGCCTTGGATTAAAGACAAAGGACAACAAGAAACACGATGGGATATCATCTGCTTCAGCTGAGCACACAAGATTTAACTGTTTTGATTTATTGGCTCCTTCCCTATTCTCTTAACCCATTATGCTGCTCCTTCTGGTTTCACTTGCTCCTTATCCAATCTGGATAGCATGGTCAGTCATTTTAGTCATGTCTTTACCAGCATACTAGAACAATTCATTTTATTCAACCAATATATTTACTGGACCATCTGCTACATACCAAGGACTACTATGTGACAGGGATACAGAGATAAACATGACATGATTACTCCTCTTATAGAGTTTCAAACAACATGCAGTCAATTACAATAAAATACGATGTGTGCTAGGATACGAGAAGACCAGGGAATTCAGGAAACACAGCCAGGAGTCTAACCTAGTCTAGTGATCAGAGAAAATCCAACACTATTCTTCTCACCATCAAGCTTCTTGAAAGAGACATCTATGTTTTGTGCTTCCAGTTGTCATTACTGCTCACTCTATAACACCTATGTACCATATTTTTACACAAATAACGTGTGTCTTCTACATTTGTTTGTCAACTGCACCCTCCCCACGTGAGGTATTTTCATAAGCACTGCTATGCCAATTTTTTTTACATGTTGCTGTAAAAAATTAGCATAGAACATTTACAGAAATACTTCACAGGGGGAGGGTGCAGTTGGCAAACAAATGTAGAAAGCACGCGTTATTTGCATAAAAATACGGTAATCAGTTCTCACTATTCTCCTGAGATGATCTCTTATTTATTAAATGCAACGGTCTTTCACATTTCCTATCTTCTTTGACACCTCTCTTGGCATCAACACTCCCAATAACCTTCCCACATCATCCTAATTCCTACCCTACAAATTTCATTGCATTCTTTTAATTTTTTTATACCATATTTTTATGCAAACAACACACACTTGCATTTGTTTGCCAGCCATGCCCTCTCCCCTGTGAAGTACTCTCACAAGTGCCACCATGCCAATCCTCTGCCACATGTTGCTGTAAAAAGATTAGCATAGCATGCTTAAGAAAATATCTCGCTGGGGAGAGGGCATGGCCGGCAAACAAACACAGAAGGCATGCATTATTTGTGTAAAAATACAGTATATGAAGTAAAGAGGTTTTCTTCTTAATCTTCTTTTTCTATATATTCTCAGTCTCCATGATTTCATTACACCCATGGCTTCAATTTTCACCTCTATGTGGGTAACTCCCTAATTGCTAAGTCCAGGCCCAACCTCTCCCTTGAAATCAAGGCTAACTATCCAATATCTTTTAGGTCTCTGTATCCCAAAGGTTATTCTCAACCTTTAAAATGTTAAAACCAACATCATTCCTAGAAACCACCTCTTTCCTCTGACTTTCCAAACACTCAAAATGTTGCAGTAATTTTAGACACTCTCCTTTCTTCTTCATTTTTTGAAAGACATAATTTGCATTTATTATCGTTAAAATCATTCAAAAACATTAATAATTGAGCGCTGACTACATGCCAGTCACAGTTCTAGCCAGTAGGAATGCATAAGTGTACGAAACAAAGATCTCTGCCAATGTGGAGTACACATTCCTGCAGAATGTAAAGTTATCATCACTTTACAGTCGTGTCTCTTTTCTTCTTGTTTTTTTATACAGCTTTATTGAAATATAATTTACATAACATACGATTCACCTATTTAAAGTGTACAATTCAATGAATTTTAGTATATTCTCCGAGTTGATGCAACCATTACTACAATCAACTTCAGAACATTTTCATTACTCCAAAAAGAAACCTTGTATACTTTAGCTATCACTTCTAATCCCATCATCCCCACTACCCCAAGCCTGGACTGAAAGGGGAAAACAAATGTTATAAAGTAGCTATTGGAACAACTGACAAAATTAGAATACGGATTGCAGATTTAAAGTATTTATAGTGTTAAATTTCTTGAATTTGATCATTGTACTGTGGACCAATAAACAACATCATGATAAATGGTAAAGAAATTGATGTTGTCAAGGATTTCATTCTACTTGGATCAACAAATCAACGCCCATCGAAGCAGCAGTCAAGAAACCAAACAACATATTGTATTAGGTAAATCTGCTGCAAAAGACCTCTTTAAAATCTTAAAAAGCAAAGATGTCACTTTGATGACTAAGGTGTATCTGTCCCAAGCCATGGTATTTTCAGTCATCTCATATGCATGCAAAAAGTGGACAATGAAAAAGGAAGACTAAAGAAGAATTAACACATTTGAATTATGGTGTTGGCGAAGAATACTGAACATACAATGGACTGTCAAAAGAACCAACAAATCTGTCTTAGAAGAAGTACAGCCAGAATGCTCCTTAGAAACAAGGATGGCAAGACATTGTCTCACTTAACTTTGGACACATCAGCAGAAGGGGCCAATTACTGGAGAAGGACATCATGTTTGGTAAAGTAGAGGGTCAGTGAAAAAGAGGGAGACCCTCAATGAGATGGATTGACACACTGGCTGCAACAATGAGCTCAAACACAGAAACTGTGAGGATAGCACAGGATCAGGCAATGTTTTGTTCTGTTATATACAAGGTTGCTATGAGTCGAGCCAACTCAACGGCATTTCTGTATATTGGTTTTTGTATATTGATCTTGTATCCTGCAACCTGTGCTCATTCATTAGTTCTAATAGTTGAGTAGAGTCTGTGAGATTTTCTACATACAAGATCATGTCATCTGCAAATACAGATAGTTTTCATCCTTTATTCTACTGATGTGGTGTATTACATTAATTGCTTTTCAGATGTTAAAAAAACCTTGCATTTATTGGATAAACCCCACTTGGTCATGGTGTATCATCCTTTTTATATGTTGCTGGATTCAGTTTGCTAGTATTTTGTTTAGGGTTTTTACACCTGTATTCATAAGAGATATTGGTCTGTAATTTTCCTTTCTTGTGATGTCTTTGTCTGGTTCTGGTATTAGGGTAATGCTGGTCTCATAGATGAGTTAGGAATTGTTTTCTTTGCTTTTATTTTTTGGAAGTTTTTCTGAAGAATCACTATTATTTCTTCTTTAAATGTTTGACAGAACTCACCAA